ATATATATATATATATATATATATATATATATATATATATATATATACAATTTTCCGTAACACTTATGGGCCACCGTAGAAACCTTACTATTCCACAGTACAATTATTTTCATACCGATGCGCCTATATCTTTGTAGATGACTTACAAGCACAAAAGAAGCCGGATTGCCGGGGATTGTTTCGTTATTTATACATAATAGGCCTATGGTGCGGCCTAGCTGATGGTATTAACAGCCTACATACCGTGGTCCTAGCATTATCCTAACAGGGAGGTAAAAAGGCAAATTTTTAATGTCGCCTACCAATTACTGATGTCCTTTCGAAGCAAAACGGTTGTAAGCCATTTTCTAAGCATGTCTTGATGGCCACAAGACCGCTCAAACCACCACCTATCACAGCTACACGCTTTCCAGTCATCACGCGTCCTGATCGAATACAAACAGTATACCTTATTAATAGGTCCATGGTATAACAATGGATGTTAGGCTACGGTTGACTCATCGCGGGTGAGATTTTAAGCCAGGCTCGAAATTCTAAACATTTCACTGATAAATTTTTAGTAACGCGTCAGTAAAATAATTATTCACATAAATATTAAGTACTCTCTAATGACTCATTTACCATGGTACTGGTACTGGTACTTGTAGCCGTCTGATTTCAGACATTCGGCAGCCATTGACATTTATGTTGGCGTTAAAAGACATATTGTGATGAGGGACCTGTGTACAAACAATTACCAAACACAAAAAAAATATGGAAAACTGAATGTTATTTACAAAATATTCTATTTAATGCTTATGGGTGAAACTTTCTTTGATAAATTGGCTTCTTATTCTGTTGAATTTTTTCAGCATGATTATTTATATATATTTTTAAATAAAATCAATTTCTTTTAATTTTAAATACATGTCCCCTGAATTCGTGATAATTCGTTATCACGCATAGATTTGGGCTAAATGCGTGACAAATTATGGATCACGCATGTGTTTCTGCAAAATGTGTTTTTCATCCTTTGGGGGTTGGGGGGGGGGGGGGAAAAAAAAAATGAAAAAAAAAATAAAAAAATAAAGAAAAATTGATCGCCCAAACGCATCAGAGGTTATTTTCGGGCGTGAAGGCTGTCGACTATCTGGCAACCCTGGAGCCGGGATCGAGATAGGTAGATTGAGATCGGGGTCACGCCAGGCGCGAGTCGATCGAGGTGCGGTCACATTACGAAAATCTCACCCGCGGTGAGTCAAGCCAGGCTTGAGACTAGATAGTGTGATTAGCTCATTGGACCCACAAACGGCAACAATTAAGGTACTGAATAAACAAGTCTGACCTTGACAAAATCGCAATGGTAATCCACTGGCTTATAAAGGGATCAAAATTTCAAGTTCACTGATTATCATTCTACTGTACTGTAGGCCTGTCACGCCAAAATTGGTCCGGGCTAAAATCGGTCCAGGGGACCGATTTTGGCAGCTAACATTTGTCCGGGGGACCGATTTTGGCCGGCCAAAAATCAGTCCTCCTTAATAATATTGGTCCGGCCAGGACAAATTTTGGCTTTATCCTAAATCGTTCCGCCTACGTCTGCTACAGTGCTACACTATACGAGTTCAGTATTCAACCAATTACAGCACAGTGAGTGCTTACTTATCGGTCTGCATTGATATTTTAGGGAAAAGCTTTTTGGTGGGAAAATTGAAAATGAGTGACCAATCAATAATGAATCTTCAATCTGAAGCCTATTTTGCATACATCACCTTAGTATTGCCACAGATTCTATATACAACAATATGCAACTATATACAATTTGTATATAGAATCTGTGGTAACAGAGATGTATTTCACAGAATCACAGCTGACTTTATTTAAACTTTATTATTAAACAGAAAAGGCCGACGTGCTAACTTGCAGATGTTCTGCTTTTTAAGATTTAACACGAAATGGAGCTATTTCGACCCTAAGTATGGTGTACTGACAACAGTGTAAAACAGCATATATATGTATATATATATATATATAGTATATATATATATATATATAAAACGGTTGAACGTGTTGCAAATATCACCAGCAGAGTGCTCAATGGTAATGAAACCAGAGCGAATTAAAGACAAAAAATGAGAGGTTCAACAGTAGCTTTGATTAGACATATTTATTACT